TTTGTCCTGTTAAAAAAGACTAGGAATGACATGACTAGAGTCTCCCTTGAATTAGGAGTAAAGTTCAAACTTCTAAGAAGAAAAGATCTGATCGGTTTGGCCAGTCTCTATGTAGTGTCAGACTGTGCGGAATTCTGGAGCCAGCGCACCTCAAAGTCACTGAGCAGACTATGATAATTGCTTTACGATTAGACATCTGTATCTGTTTCAATCAGGGTCACATGCAAGCATGGTGGCCTGTGCTAAAAGAAACTTTCAAAAGGAGCTGTGGGCATGGCAGGAAAGGGTTTGGCCATGCAGCTACATGAATCATCACTCTAATTTTATCCCTTAGGAATGAAAGATATGTACTAGCACATGCAACCTCATCATCACTGTGTTGAGGACCACTCCAAGAAAAGAGAGGATTTTCACAAGCCACTAGGGACTGAGGAGCTTTACTTCACCTCATCTTTACAAGGCAAGGTATGGTAGGAAAGAAGACAGAACATACAAAGTATTCCACATGCCTCCAATATTTTTTGCTCATAAAACAAAGTTTAAAGGCAAAGTATGATTCTGGAAATCAATACACTGAGTTTTTCCTCCTCACAGCTGAACATGGTGGAATGGTTTAAATCTATTGAGTGTTAAAGATTCACTGATTTCAGAAAATCTAATGATTTCTTTGTCTCAACTGTAATACATTTTAAGATCTACCTAAAATAGCACCGCCACACTCATCTCCACTGCCCTAAGCATTCTATCACATTACCCTGGTATTTCCATCATAGCATCTATCACAATCAGAAAGTCTGAGTCTTCCTGTCCTACTTCTTTAGAATGCAAACTCCACAGGGACTGGGACTTGTCTGTCTTCATCACTAGATCCCCTATCTCCAGTGCCTAGAACTGAGCTGCCAAATAATAACCTTTCAATACAAACTTGAAGAATGAATAATTAATCATGGGGAAGGGATATCATCTAAAATTCTAGCGTTATTTACCAATCCAAGAATTATTTACCAAGATAACTTTGGTTTGTCTATTTGAGTAAGACAGGTTTATATAATGCTGAGACTTCACAACACTTCAAATAAAATAAACTCACAAGGCACAAACTGAGAAACTCCTTTTCAAGGAAGTTTTTAAATACTCAAAATTAGCTTTTAACTAATACTCTCTGCAATTACATTCCATCTTAAATCAAAAAGGTTCTCTTAATTTTTATTATGACTTTTATCAGTCATTTAATTAACAAATATTTATTACTTCCCAACTTTGTGAAGGGCATTATGGGTAATTAACCAAAGACCTTGCCCTAACAAAGCTTAGAAATCAATAGAAGAATGGCATGATCACAGTTATACTTTGGGAGGATTAACTTCATCTCAGTGTTTTTTTGGACTGGAGGCAGGGAGACAAGTTAGAAGGCTATTAGAGTAATTAGTTCAAGATAGAGATAAATGGAGGGTCTGACTTAGGACAGTGATTAAAATAAATAAATACAAAATAAAAAATAATGTAAGATAGAAATGGCAAATGCTCTATGCTTTTAAATCTCTTAAGAGTTCCACATGGGATATTATCAGTGCTAAAACACTGTTACTTTCTTAATTACAGGTGAAGGACAACCAGGATGAACAAGTGTTCAAGTGTTTCATTCTTGCATATGACATTATGAAGTGGTGACCTATCACTGTATTACAGTTGAAGGAGTAATTTGTTAGATTAGACAAAAATATCTGAGTGTTTAAGAACTATACTTTGTACCTAGAGCTTACCACCAGACTAACTGGTTAACTACACCATTTGGATTTTAGCTCTGATTTCTAAAATCAAACATTGACAACTCAAAAACTTAGTATATAACTACATTTCTCAAACTAAACCAGGAGCACTGGACTATAAGCCATGAGTCCTGAGGAAGATTCGAAAAATTTGTATTTTCATTTTGATAATATGTTTTAAACAGTGTATTCTGGATCATCTGAATAACTACCTCATATCCATAATCAATGGTACTAGAACTAGGGTGGGCTAAAAAAAAAAAAAAAGGCAGAGGGTCTTAGAAGGTAAATGATATATTTATACCAAGTGAAAGCCAAACCATCTGTGATTTAAAGAGGAAAGCTCTGCAGCATTCAAATGCACAAAAGTGGTGTAGGAACTGGATTATCACAGGATGTATAGTATATAGAAAACTGCACACCTTGCCAAGGCAGGCAATAGTATATTTACTATGCAAAGAATTTGTTTCAGCAAAACAACATCATCCATTACCCTAAATTTAATTTGTTTTACTGGCTTTATAGTTTTGTTTATATTTAATTTATAAATCTACTTGTGTTTTATACTTACATAAAAGCAATAAACATAAGGAATTTATATTTATATACACCTAAAAATTAAATATTTTAATAAAACTATTTAGGCCAATATAAGGACCCACAATATTTTTTTTTCCGTTTAAAGAGGGGACTATATATATTATTCATGCTTAAGACTAACACGGTGGACAAAACATGGGGATTCAAATCGGAAAGATCCATTTCCAAATCTTGGCTCTTCTAGGTGTTTAACACATAACCCTAAACAGTAATCTCACTAAGCCTCCGTTTACTTGCAGGGTTACTATGAAAATAGTTTTATGTGGTACACTCGAACTCAAATGAAAATTCTTTTCCTCTTTCTCCATCTAAATTAGCTTTTTATGGCATTCGATATTCTATCAAACTACAGGGCTTAAGATCTCTTTGATGACATCTTTGATGTCTCTCCATAGAACTATTGATCTAGCATACACCATGCAGATAACACTTGCACAATGTCTCCTTCCCAGTGCAACCAAGAATTTCCAAATCTCCAAAGTCTGAAACCTGGTATGGTACTTTTACCTCTATTTCCTCCAACCTACAACACAGTCTCTGTAAAAGCCACAGAATTTAACTCCCTTGAGTGCATCTCTGAGGCTGTCACTCTCCTGTTTAAAATCTTCTGTAACTCTCAAGGCCTTCTGCATTAAAGCTCTACCCAATCCATCCTTCCAATTTTACCTCCCAACAATTCCTAAACTGAAAATTTCCTGAGGCAATGATACTGAGATATGCCCTATCCCTAGCACAGTACGTGACACATAAGAAATACCCAATAGTAACACTTGATATAAATACTGAAAATCCATAATGCTCCTCTTCCCCAAAAAAGACACTAGATTTTCTCTGGTGGCATAACTCTTCCTTCATTTCTTTCTAATACGCTTCTAATTATTAATAGACAATTGTGTTTTTTTTTAAGATTTTATTTATTTATTCATGAGAGACAGAGAGACCCGATCCCAGGACCATGGGATCATGACCTGAGCCCAAGGCAGACGCCCAACCAACTGGGCCACTCAGGTGCCCTAATAGACAATTGTTTTAACCATAACAATGTGAAAACTAGCCTTTAAAGACAATTACAAAGAATCACAAAAAAAGACAATAGTCCTCTGTGATTAAAAGAAAAAGCCAATGAAAAAGCATTTTACTCTCCCTCTTTATTTTAATTACTTTTTAAATTCTGAGTTTTACTACTAACTTAGAAGCTAGTTGACATGTACCAAATAAATGCAACATAAAAACTGTAAGAAAAAACAAAACCAAATCCCTACTGGATAATACAAGAACAACAGACACATATTTAACAAAATACTCATTAACTAAAGCTTCTGAGTACCTCTGCAGTTACTTCCCCTAAAATTTTTTTGGTCCCTTATTTTTCTAATGAGTGAAAGCCAAATGCCTAAGTTATGTACACACATATACCCAAAATATTTCTCTTCTGAATAAAATACATAATGTACGATATTGTATGTCATTCTGACATCATCTCTTTGTAGGAAACATGGGTAAAGGAAATTACTGCTAATCATAAACATTACCAGTGGGCATTTCTTAAATATTCACCTCTCTGTTCAGGCTAATATACTCAATGTCACTGACCCAACCTTCCACTACAAAAGCTGGAAAAAACCAGAGGGCCCCAAATTAATGTATAAAAATTTGACTCACATGTAACTTTTCAGTAACACTACTGTAGTGTGCGGGCAGACAGACCTCCTGAGGGATCTGTCACACAATCTAAAACATACAGGGATCTTTAGATAACCAAACAAAATTAAACTATGGCCATAAACTATGGTCATAAAGTCAGTCAATCCAATCGCCAGCTCTTTAAACAAAGAGCTAACAAGTCCAGCATTCAGAATAAAACAGAGGTCTCAATTCATCTCTATCAACTTAGTGTCCTCACATCAAGTGGGAGCACCAGGCCATCACAACTTCCTTAACAATGAAGGTAAAACTTGTGAGCCAAAGAGAGCTCCCACAGCTGTATTTCACTTGGATTATAAAGCTTACATACTGCATAATATTCTGTAACTTTAGTCTCCAAATTCATGAAATGGATTGGGGAGGGGGGGAATAACAAGGATATAAAATATGACTGACAGTATCTCAATTGTTATTTGCCAAACGGCAGGGGCAAACGGGTCACTCTATGGATGACAGAGCCATAAAAGAAAAAGAAAATATTTTTAATTGTTACAAAACTGGTCCATATGCTCAAAAAATGTGAGCATCCATACCCCAACAAGTTATAGACTATGATCTAAGACACAGAGCTTAATTGGAGGAAAAAATGCCTATGCTCTGCCTCTCTAAAGAAACATACAACCCTATAACCCGAACATCATCACACCAACACCCACTACAGTGGATGTTTTTAAATATTAAGTCAGGAAATCATGGTAAGTGCTAGCGGTTCCTCTAGGCCTCAGCAGCAGCCTTAGGTATAAGAGCAAACTCGAGCCCTCTTAACACTCATAGAATAACGTTGATGTCATTACGAGGCCACTGATTCTTTGCACTCTGGACTAGTCATTCCTTGATCCACAACGCAATTCCTCCCCTCCCCATCACCCCCCTAAATAAAAGAGATCTCAGTGCAGAGAAGCCCTCGGATACCCCCTTCTCCTCTACCTCCAGCGGCTGCTGCTTTCTCCTCCCTCCGGCTCCGAGGTGGGGGCTCCAGAAGGTCCCGGGCAATTCCGAGCCCGGGCGGTGCTTGTTTTGCCTGTGCACGGTAGCTCCGGCCAGCCGCTTCCTTTCCCAGTTTGCCCGAACTGGAGCGCTACAGGGAACCGGGGGGCCGGGGAGGGAGCCCGGGTGGAGACGCCGCCGCTGCCGCCGCCGCTGCCGCCGCCTCTGGTATGTCAGGGGCCGGGATTGTATTTCGAAAGATCCGCCATTTTCACCTCGTCATCACCATCACAGCTCAGCAGCTTCCCCGACAGCCCGAGCCCGGGCCGCCGCCGCCGCCGCCGCCGCCAGTAACCTCCCCCTTCCTCCTCCTCCCCTCCTCGGCCCTCCCCTCCGGAGAGGCGCACACCCACATATCCGGGGAAACCTCCCGCCCGCCCCGCCAACCTTCAAATGCACAGGGAGATACAAACGCACACACAGCCCACGCCGAGACCTTTCACCCCACAGCGAAAAATGGTGCTTCTGCGGGCCCGGCAGCTACGCGAAGGGATGTCTCTCTACCTGCCGAGTCCCAAGTCCGGCATATTTTTGTTTTGAAGAGCAAAAGCCACACGGAAGGCGGCATAAGGACAATAAAGAACCCAAACTCTTTCATTTTCAGAAAAGCAACTTGAGACGGATGATGGAATGCGTTTTATTCACTCTGCTCATTTCAGATACTAAAAACATGATAAAGACCTTTAATGTCATTCACCAACTGACGTTTTCCTCTACTGTCAGCACTACTTTGACAGAACGACCCATTTCCATATGCATGTCTGATCTGACACATTTGTAAATTACAGGCACTGATCCTCATGCTGATGATGTGGTCAAAACTAGATGTGGTCTAGTTTTAAAAATAAAGTTCTGAACTATTTTCCCTCTCTACTTGATTTCATCTGATCATTTCTGTCCGTGAACACTGTGACTTCCAATTTGTCATTGGTTTAAGATGTCAAAGCCCAACGAGGTTTAAAATGTATTGATCCTACTCATGAATGAACAATTTCTAAAATACAGAAAATATACCTCTAAACTAAAATTATTTGCCAAATGTTTTTAAGATCTGTCACCAAATGAAAAAAAAATCTACCACAGATATATTTAATACAGACAAAATAAATAGCTTGCTTTAGAACAAGATCTCAGTTACCCATCTTTCCCACCAGCTACTCTCATTATGCGGTTTAATAACTAAAAAAGAACATAAGCATTTCTTTAATCATCTAAGAAATAACACAAAACCACAAGCTTCAAGGCTTGCGACAAGACCAGAATTAAAAAACAAAAACAAAAAACCAAATTGGTTATCTTTGTTAATTTCAGAAAGCTTTGGTAATCGCGCATTCAAAAGCTGAATTCTAAACCCACCACTGAACTACAGTATAAAATCTTAAAGACCTACCTGCAATGATCAAATTGAATTTCAAGGTTGAGAACAGGGCCACTCTACTGTCTTTTTTAAAAGTTAGTCTAAGAAGGGTGAGGTGGAAGTTGAAAAAGCCATTTCATTTCCTTACCTTTCTTGAATGACAACTCCATATAAAAGCCAGTACATTCAGGCTTTAAACAAGTGCTATCTACCACCCAGCCCAATCGCTCTTTATCTATGCAGCCTGCTCGAGCTTGAGAGTCTCCAGTCTTCCCAGTTTCTTCATGTTTAAACTTTATTTTTCCTCCGCCAGCCCCATCCATCCGCACTCTGCTTGGTGTTTACCGTTGCTTGGCCAAGCTAAGTCCCGGCCCGCTCCCTTTCCCCGTGCACCTCGGGGACATTATGACATTTAGATGGTGGGCTTCGCGAGGAAAACGGACATACACGGAGAGATCATACAAAGGGGCGTAGGAAGAACGGGGCGGCCGGCAGCAAGGAAAGGAGGGGCTGGTACAAAATGACACAGCAGCAAAACCGGTTCCCAGAAACCCAGGGCGGACACAGTCGGCTTCTCCGGCCACGCAAGGTGCGTGTCAACAGCCGCCGGAACCCTTCCTCCCGACTGCCGGGAAGGGCGGGCGGCCGGCCCAGCGCCGGCCCTACCGGGTGACAGCCGCCCTCCCGGGTGCCGGCGGGAAGAGGCCGAGCGCGGAGGATCCTCCCGCCCCTTGCGGCCCAAGGCAGGCGCGGCAGCCCCCAGCCCGCAGGTTCCCGCTCTCCGCCACGATCCACCAGCCCGGGCTCCCAGAGGGGGCGGTCCGGCGCCCTCCGCCCGCTCCACCACCCGCAGCGGGGGCCGGTGTCCCCTTCCCGCCCTCCCGCCCAGATGTCCCCACCCCCGGGCTGACACTCACCAAAGCCGGCGGCGCCGCCGCCTGCTCCTCGCGCCGCGCTCCCTAGGCTCCCAGCAGCAGCGGCGGCGGCGGCGCCTCCGAGACACAGACCCGGGTTTGTTCAAAATCACGCGCCCAGCGCCATTCCACCGCCGCATCCCATAATACGCTGGGCCCTCCCCGCCCGCGCGCCCCTGTCCGCCCGCCCCTCTCCTCCACCGGCCCCGCCTTCCCGGCTGGCTTCCTTCGCCCCGCCCCTTCCGCGGCGCCTTGTCCCTCCCCTTGGCAACCCGAGCCTCGCGTCATTCCGCAGGGCGCGGGAGTACGCTCCAGCCCCACGTGACTCTTAGTGGGCGCTCCGTCAAAGCCTTCGCAGGGAAAGTTCCGTACGGCTGAAGCTGGGAGGGGGTAAGCCGGGTTGCGCCTGCAGTTGAGAGTGCCTCATCTTCTAGCTTTCCTAGTTAGGAAGTTAGTGCTGAAGGTGCGACTTCCAGCCAACTGCCACTGGTTGATGTGCTTGGCTAAATCAATATTCACAAACGCCCTCTTTGTTTTTAGGCATTGATTTTTCAGGAATCGCTAAAAAGTCCTTGGGAGACCACGCAGAGTTAAACTTACTTTGAAAGGGACTTTTTGCAATGTGTAGCTAAGACTAACACAATCAAAATTATTTGCATTTAGTCACCTTTTCCTTCTTTTGTTTTCGTCGATGCCCTTTATTATAAAATAAGAAAAGATAGCTAAATGTGGAGTCAGATCAACAGGCACTCAGTTAATAACTGCAGTGTGAGACAAGAACTACACAGACGAAACAAAAAATACGAAAGAGGGCAATGTCAAATGGTGTAGTACAGTCTATAATTGCCAACGGAGCACGGAGGACATACAAGTCAACGTCAGAGACTGGCAGCGACCATACCGGCCCAGGTGAGACTTACGTTGTAGTGGAAGCAGTTGCTTTGGAATCAAGCAGTCCTGGTTTTGAATTCTGGCACCTCACACATTAGTGTATAGCAATTTATCAGGTTCCTTTTCCCATCTACAAAGTAAAAATCCCAGGATTTTGAGGGTTAAATGAAGTGAGAGGTGTCAAGCAGCTACACAGTTCCCACCTCAAATGTTAATTCTGTTCTGCAAAAATCAACACCACCCGTATCTCCCATGGCAAACTCAATGGCAAAGCAAGTGGCATGAAATTAGAAAAGGCTCGGAAGCCAGAGGGTCTGTGGCCTGTGCAAGGAAAGGGAGAAAACTGAAAGATACACAGACTTGGTTGGGGATCAGTAGATTAGTCACTCCAGTTTATGAGGAGCCTTGAGAGCTAGTGGACACCTCTAGTACTGTGGACACCTCTAGAAGGAAGAAGGGAGTTGAGATGGGGTATCAAACCCTGGCTGGATTCTAGGGAAACTATCCCCAAAAGGGAGAAGATTTCTCAGTTTATTCCATAAGGCTAGCATAATCCTAATATCAAAACCCAAGACAAACAATACCCAAAGAAAGAGAGGAATTCTTCTGTTCTCACTATGACTTTGTTGCAAAGAAAACTGAGTACTAAAGTATCAAAAACAGTGGTGTGGTAATAAAAAGAATTCGTACCATGACAAAGTATGGTTTATTCCAAGAATGGTGGTTTAACACTAAGAAATCCCAGGTAATTTATTAAAGGAGAAAAGCCAAATGATACTCTCTAGGGATGCACTGTATAACATTCAACAGCCATTTCTGGAATTTAAAAATACACAGTAAACCAGAAATAAAAGAACATTCTTTAAATGGATCAAGATAATCATCAGAAAACAACAGTAACTTCATACCTTAGAGTGAAATGAGGGAAGCATTTACATTAAAGTCAGGGACCTGACAAGGATGGAGGGCTATAGCAGCTATTATTTAACGTTTTCTAGGGTGTCCTAGCTAAATGTAATTAAATAAGGAAAAAGAAAATAGAGGTTTGAATACTGGACAGAAGAGACAAATGGTTCTTATTAAAAATAATCATACAGGGACACCTGCGTGGCTCAATCAGTTAAGCGTCTGCCTTCGGCTCAGGTCATGATCCCAGGGTCCTGGGATGGAGCCCCTGTTTGGTTCCCTCTCCCTGCTCAGCAGGGAATCTGCTCCTCCCTCTCCCTCTGCCCCTCTCCCCTGCTCCTGCTCTCTCTCAAATAAATAAATAAATAAAATCTTAAAAAACAATAATCACAAAGAGGGGCACCTGGTTGGCTCAGTTGATTAAGCATCTGACTCTCAATTTTGGCTCAGGTCATGATCTCAGGGTTGTGAGACTGAGCCCCGCCTCAGGCTTCCTGCTGGGCGTGGATCCTGCTTAAGATTCTCTCTCTCCCTCTCCCTCTCCTTCTACCTCCCCACCCACCTCTCCCTCTCTAAAAATAAATAAATAAATAAATCACAAAGAGCGCAGTGTTGGGGTTAATTGCTTAGCCTCTGGAGCCAGACTACCTGGGTCCAAATCCTGGCCCTGCCACTTAGTAACTGCATGATCTTGGGCAAGTTACTTTCCACCTCTGTCTCAATTTCTTTATCTGTAAATTGGGCACAGTGTAGACATCATAAGGTTGTTGTGACGATTACTGAGAAAATATACATAAAACAGTTTGAACAGTGCCTGGCATTTGGTATATGCTCAGTGACCAAAACCCATTAATAATCAAAGCTATAATACAGAGTAAAATATAACCTAATTTTTACCTTTTCAAAGAAAACATTTTAGCTCCTAAGAGTCACTGTTACTCAAACATTTCTATTTCAAAAAAGAATTTTTGCTTTATATTTGCCTGAACGCTTTTACAGATAAACTAAAAACATTTATTCAGTAAGTATTTGTTGATCGTCTACTGGATCCCAAGCACTGTGAAAGGCACTGGGAATAACATAGCAAACAAGATGAAGCAGCTCTATCCAGTGGAACTTTCCCCAATGGTGGAACTGTTCTATATTCACACTATCTGATACAGTAGACATAGCTCACATGTGGCTATCAAACCACTGAAATGTGGCTACTGCAGCTAAGAAACTGACTTTTTCATTTTATTTAATTATCCTTAATTTAAATTTAAATAGCCGTGTGTGGCTGATGACTATATACTGAACAGCACAGTGCTACAGGAAATGACAGACAACAAACAGGTAGAAAAATTAGAGCTTTCTAAATAAATAAAGGAGGTTTCTGAGGAAAATATCAGTACAGAAAATGAAAAGATAGAGGTATAGGGGCACCTGGCTGGCTCAGTTGATAGAGCACATGACTCTTAATCTCAGGGCCGTTAGGTCAAGCCCCATGTTAGGCATGGATCCTACTTAAGATTAAAAAAAAAGTTTTTAATTAACAAAAAAGATAGTGGTATAGAAGTATGAGTTGGGTAGAATTATCAGTAGACAAAATGAAATGTATTATGGGGTACCTATTATGTTCCAGGTATACTGTTACGTACAAACTATACAGTAGTTAATAAAATTTTCTTAAAATAGCTTAGTATCCAAAAGATTACCCAGAGGTTCATGAGTCCATTTGTCCTAAGTCCAGATGTCTCTGTATAATTTATACATCTATGTAAGTGTAATTATCACCATATTCTTTTCCATTATCACATAACTCTTTTATAACAGATCTATAATCCCTTATCAACAACTTCAAAATCCAAAATTTTTGAAAACTAAAGGGTTTCATGAAGCTTATGACAAACTCAGCAGACAAACCTGGCCTGCCTAAACTCACTGGGTATTCTTAAAGTGGATGCATTTTATTATATGTCAATTATACTCCATTAAAGTTGTTGTTTTTTTTTTGAAGATTTTTTATTTATGGGGGGGGAGACAGCATAAGCAGGGGGAGCAGCAGAGGCAGAGGAAGAAGCAGGCTCCCCGCTGAGCAGGGAGCCCGATGGGGGGCTCGGTCCCAAGACCCTGGGATCATGACCTGAGCCAAAGGCAGACACTTAACCGACTGAGCCACCCAGGTGCCCCAAAGTTGGTTTTAAAAGAAAAAAGTTTTTAAAATTATTTATCCTCAATTCCAAAATACATTGACACTCAGTGGTTTCTAATAAGGGAATGTAGATCAGTATCATTTTGAACATACCCTAAATTTTTTCACATACGGTACATGATGTAATTAATAATGTCAAACCACCTGAAAATTAAAATCAACCACTAAAGTCATCTGCTGATGGTAGACAGAGTTCATTATTTTTCCTCTTGGCAACAAGATTTATTTGCCTCTATAATAGTTATTTTTGTTTTTGTAATTAAAAGGATAGAAGTGGGGCGCCTGGGTGGCTCAGTCATTAAGCGTCTGCCTTCGGCTTAGGTCATGATCCCAGGGTCCTGGGATCGAGCCCCGCATCGGGCTCCCTGCTCAGCGGGAAGTCTGCTTCTCCCTCTCCCACTCCCCCTGCTTGTGTTCC